TTTTGGATTCTCATCTGTTCCCAGCGATACTTCTTTTTTTCAACAACCCATCAATCTTTGGCTTTGGTTTCACAACATTTCTCTTTCTCCATTTATGTGAGATTAATTTTTGTTCAAAATTATAAAGTTAAAATATTGATATCCCGGGAGAGCGCCCTATAAAGGTACGACTTTTAAGACTCTCATTCAATCTATTTTCCTTCATTTTATTCAAAGATTTCCAAGCTGGTCGTTTGAAGACTGGGCCCAGTTTGAGCTTGATACTTTGGAAGACATTTTCAAGAGATCAGACTGGCAAGAGAGAGCCCTGAAACCTGCTCTATCCTCCATTCTCGCCCCAGCCCTCTGCGCTGTTTACGGTAAGCATGCAATGGGGAGATAAGCAGGGAATAGAGACTAGGAATCAGTTCTTTATAAACGATTATTTAAAGTATCGTATTCATTGACTATATCATCAAATAGAATTTTTTTTGCAACACTTTATTTGTTCTTTCAGCGACATATGGGGATAACGAAATCTCGAATCTCGATGATGACCGAGTCGTTTGGGATCGACAATACACACTTAAGGTTGGTTAAGTCAGTTCTCGTAAACTGTTGAATAATCACCAAATCAAAAGAATCATAGATAAAAAATAAAAATAAAAAAAGAGGAGAACTATGAGGGAACGAGAATGTATCGATTATTTATTGATTTGTCACTAAGCCCTATCAGAGGTCGTGGAACCAGCATGCAATCATGCATTCTTCCTAAATTGAAGCAGATCGATAAGACATGACTCGACTATAAAATGATTTACCACGATCTTTTTTTCCACAGGATTTATCCAGCATTAAAGTTAAGATACAGAGAGCGGATAGTCCCAGCTCCCCGAGCGATAGCTTTTTCTTCCCGATTACGGATGACCGCGAGAGGTCTCGGTCACTGGAATTACTCTACCCGCCGATTGCAAACATAGTTGAGGTAAAGCACGCACTAGCGACATAGCTTTCATAATTGGTCTAGATCAATCAAGTTAAACTCACAAAAATGTAAGGCAGAGACATTGGGAAGATTACCAATCATGTTTTTAGGTAAGAAATCAAGATATGAAAGAGTTCCCTTTCCTTGAAATGGCTTTGAAGTGACATGGTAGGAGACACGTTACCATGTAACGCGCGTGCAAAAATAACACGCATGTAAGAGCGCTTTTCCTTTTGGGAAAATCAAATGACCTTTTCAAGCAGAGGGCTTCGAGCTTTATTGAAAAAAAAAAAGAGAGAAAAACTGACTCGAATAGCAAGCCATGAACTTATCTGTTCCTTTTGTCTTCTCTTGGTAGATCAAAGAAAAACTGCATCCTCCCTGTGATTCCGGAAGGTCCTCGCCAATATTTGTTTCTGGGTACGAAGCAGAACGACAAAGAAACGACATCAAGCAGTTCGGACGAGAAGTGGCGTCTAAGCTTGCTGAGAGAAGAGCTGAATACGCGAAACGAAGAGCGAGTCAGATTCATGAAGAAAGGGAAATAATCGAGGTAATACTCTCTCGTTTTAACACCAAATTCTCCTCACTGATCTATGGAAAAAATGTATAACAGTTGGAGGAGAGAATTCAGTTTTAATCTACAGATCTTGGCTAGTTAATCAGTATGACCTGTTTTTTTTCCGACAGCGTAACATAGAAGAAGCAGTCAGAAACAAAGCGAAGCAGTTGCAAGAGGCGGACCACTTAGAGAAGGACGGTTCGTTCCTAAAAGAAAGGCGAGCCAAACTATGGAGAAGATGTGCCAACATGGCGGAAATTTTAGCGAAAGAAGAAACAGAGGCCACGCTTTGGCAGAACAAATATAAAGAAGCTATTTCAGTCGCATCCGGGTGTTTCATGTTTTTTTAAGCAGACCAGTTTGCAGAGGATTAACTGTAGCCTCAGTGAAGGACGCCACGGTTCACGGAGAGATGACAACGAGTCTTCCTGCCTCGACGGGGCGGTCCGGCTCAAGAGCGATGCTAATCCAAGATGGAAGGTACTCGCGAGACTGAGGCTGCTCACGAGAGTGAGGTTGCTTGCGAGAACGAAGGATGTCAAGAGGAGAGCCGACCGCGCGAACTGAGCCGATCTCAAAATTGTGCACGAGTACGAGGCCAGTCACGACAACGAGGCTTTCACGTAAAAGAAATAGACGATGTGATCTTGGCCGGCACATCTTTACACATACGTGTAAATTCAAAAATTTTTAATGATTTTTAATAATTTTTAAACGGCCGTTGACAAATACAAACATTAATGAGGGAAAACCTACTTTTTGAGGCCAGCTTTTTAAATTGAATTTCCTGGATCTGATTCCAAGAGTGACGATGCCTACATGGCTTTTTCTTTTTATAAATTCCTGGTCAGAAGTTTTGCCTTTTATTCAGTCTAATGATGGAAATATTTCTAGTTAAAGTATTAAATTACCATGCTTCTATCTTTTCACGATGAATGTAAAAACAAAAACCACCGGAATAAAAAAGAATATGTAAATGAACCTTCCTGTAATGTCTCAGCGGACCCGATGCGTTGGAAGCAATTTGATATTCTTATCTACATGTCTTAACGAAATGATTATAGATTTAACAATCTACAGGAAAGGGAATGAGGTCTTCATTACCCGAAATTAGTCAAAAATTGCGCTAATGTTATCCTGGGCTCCATATCAGCGTGAGGGGACTATTTACTTAATACGCTTGGCGATGATGTTCAATTTGTGTCAAGAGTACATCAAATTTCAAATTTCTGATCAGAATTTCCGTATTCTTGAATGCCTGTGATGATGAAATAAATCCACAACCATCAAGCTGTCGGAAGTTGGAAAATAACGATACGTACATAGGCCTACAAATGAAATTAATCGTTTCAGTTTGTTCTTGCCAGTCACATAATCATATAGACGACCCGTAGATCAATTACAATTACCTATTACCTACAAATTTATCTCAAAGGAGGTTTTATCTATTTTTACTTTTTCTTTTCGTCTTCCCCCAAAATTTCTAAAAAATTAAAAAGTTTAAATATCATTGTACACGAGGGTGTTTATAATTGCTTCTGGAATAGCGCAACTTGTGCTAAAAATAGTCCCACAGGAAGCGATAAAAGACAGCTGACTTTTTTAAAATTTCTGCTTGGCAATAAAAGACAGTTTTGAAAGGACGTTTGCGGCATACAGTGCAAATTTAAAACCTTTCCGTCTGCGTCAAGCCGATTTATTTTTAAAATATAGCGCTTTTTTTTATTTTGCATAAGTAGAGAACAAGGAATTTTTGCTATTTTTTAAAAGGGTTTTTTCCTTGGTCTATGGGAAAAGCAAACACACTCGTCAATCCTCCCTCCTCGATTGCTCGGCTCATGTTTCCGTGCTCTTTAAATCCGGGTTTAAACTAAACACTCGTAAGACGCTGAAGCAAGGCCAACGATAGGATGTGGATTTAAACGTGTAGCCTTTATTTCGCCGTGGAAGTGATTCAAATGATTAATGTTGGCAAGTTTGAAAGATGAAGTCCTAAATACTTGACGCACTGAAAAATAAATGGCCATCGTAGTACCTTTTCGTGTTATCCGCTTTTTAGGTCATGTAGTCCCTCACTAAAAATTCCCTTGCGACGGCTTTCATGGGGGCGGACTTTTTGCAGATGAACGATGGTGTTACGCGGTGGATCCTAAGGGATACACGCGAGTTAGTTTGGTCGCGCGTGAAAGAAGGAAAAGGTAATTGTGCACACAAACGAAGCAAAGAACTACAGCACTTACGACTAAGGTTTTTCTTACTAGGAGTATAAGTCAAAGAATAGCGACGCTGATATTTCATGGTAGGCGGGAAACGCTACGTTTTGCAAACCAATATAAGTTGCGCTAAATGTGTTCTACGCCCACACGGTAGGCGTTGAGGGCGAAATGAAATGAAATGAATTCATTAATGCCTTAGCTTTTACCCTTGTAGTCCTTTTTTTTTTTTGCTCATCATGTAAAAAAGGAATATTTATTATTCTGATTAGGACAGAAAGAGGGAGAGAGAGTGGGAGAGAGAAAGAGAAGGATTTATCTGCGCATGCGTATTGTAAAAATCTCTTAACATCACTGCGTGTTTAATAATATCGCGTCTTTCGGAAATTCTCGCGATTTCTATTTGCTAATAACGTAACCCAGAGCTGGTAGTGTGAATTTGACAAACAAAACACATTTTTATTTATTTCGCTAGATTTATGCACCCCACAAGTGGCAGTTTGGCTGGGCAATCAATACACTTGAGAGCACGTGACTTCGTTATCATCAGTTAGGGTGATCCTTACCTGTAGTCCTTCGGGACACAGTGAGGAACGTGATGAGAGAGAGGGAATGATTCTTCGTGAGTTAAATCTCTCGGCCCTGATGGCTGCAACACCATCAGAGGCTACCTCTGACCCCTACTGATGTCTCTCTAACACGATAATATAAGAGTAAATCAGTATAGAAGAAACTTCATGCGACTCGACGATCGAGCTCACAAGTTCTCCATCGTTCTTACTAAACTGACTCAAACGACAGTGCTGTACCTCGCAGTATATAGGGCGCCTGTCACGTATGAACTTAATAACCGCCTTGCTTATCACAGTAAAGTCCGAATGTCTAATGTACGATTCCTCGGGGAAGAAAACATTTTTATTAGTTCCGCGCCCGTGAAAAAAGAAAACGAAAAACATCTTTGTTTAGTATTAGCTTAACAGATACCATCCCTTTTAATCCTCTCAATCCCCGTCGATCTTTTTTCCTTCTTAGTTCATTGTAGTCCGTTTAGTGTTGTATAATCCAACGGCGCCAATATTTCGTTTTGTCATTCAAGGTTAAGGAGTTTTCCAAGCTACAATTTAAAAAACTCCTTTGAGCTACGATATAATGCTACGCAGATCAAGCTAACATTGTTCATATCATCTAGATTTTATTTAACATTTCTAAAGAGAAGTAAAAATAAATACTTTACAAAATTTTCTTTGTTCACTATTAATATACATAAGAATATATATTAAATATATTCACAAATGTTTCGCATATTTGTAAAATTTGATTCACTAGATCAATATTTACATTAGTGACCTATTCAAAATCAACTGAGAAACCGTACAATAAACCTTCAATAAGAATGTGTTTGTTACATCAGTATTTGTTTGCATCTAAAATACCTCAACGAATACAGAGAAATTGCTAAATTTTTGTGAAGATAGAATAGTGTCTCATTAGCTCAGCTCAATAATAATTTGAGTGATCTGTTGTAGGGTGGGAATCTTCTCCCACTGGAAGTGAATTATCCTTTCTTGTCAAAATCACCAGAAAGTACAACGCTCATCACTCTCTGTCTGAGCGTCCAGTCTTGGATCTCCTTACTGCAGTTCCATGTCTCCTTACAGCAGTTCCATGTCTGATCCACTCTTAGCCTAGGCATAAGTCCACAAGATGACTGTAGAACACACTAGGTGATTTTTGCTATGACACAATACATGTCTTTGAATCAACTACTGCGTCTACATCATCACTGTCTAACCTTGGGATTCCATCCAGAAGCTGTAGGTGAGGCAAAATTCTAAATACCCTGAAAAAAGGAAAGAGTGTTTTCATATTAGCTTCCTAGATTCATGATATCTTAAGAAACACCTTCACAATCTTATATAAAACCTCAAAACAGATCAATGCAAAATTACTTCTTATTTCATGTGTTAATTCTGTGAATAATTTTGATAGCATTTTTTGACAGATCAAGGGCATTAAAACTGCACCTTAATGCTTGATGCATTAAATTACAGGTGATCAGCAAGAATCCTAGTACCAGAGGAAATGTGTCTGCAGGAATATGGCTCATCAAGGGGAAGGAACTGAGAGAACTGAGCCAACACAAGATGAACAGCGAGTCTCTTCACAAAAAAGAGACCAGTCATAAGAATGAGCTTCTTACGTAATAGAATTAGATGGTATGATCTTGGCCAGGACATGGTTGAGAAAAAAAAACCTGACCACTTTGCAGGTCAAAACACTAAACCAAAATGATGAAACAATAAAAAGACTTGAGCAAGTAAAAAGGAAAGAATTTGAATGAAATTTCTTCAGTATTCAGATTGGCCAAGTCTGTGTAGGTGACAAAGAAACAGAAATTACACTTAAAAAGGTTAAAACATAACTTACTGCTGTCTGTAGTTTGGCTCCAACTCCACAGGATTCCCTTTAAGGACTAATGATTGAATTGTGGTTTTTCTCAGTAGATCCAGACCCTTTAAACTTTCCACATTATTTTGTTGCAGCGACAAGTGAAGCAGCATGGGAGCCCTGGGAAGTTTCTAGGAAACGACAATAATTGTGTCAGAAATACAGATAAAGAGTTAAAGAATCTGCAAGTTGCACCTATAACTTAACCCTTTACAACCTAACATCAGTATGCATTCGTTCTATAATGTTCTCTATAAATTTCACAAGGCACTGACAAGGAGAATTAGTATGATGATCAAGAACTTCAAAGAATTTTTTTTTTGTCCCATGCTTGTGACAAGACAAAAACCATCTTTCTCTAAGAACTTCTCTGTTGGTAACCATCTCCTTTATTCTTGTGACCATGGTGTTTCACCTGGGTGGTATTATAGGGAGATACCAGATGCTAGTGAAAGGGTTGATCGCTTGTGGATATTTCACTCATAAAAGTGAAGGTGAGTGGGGCAATTTGGATGTACATCAAAACAATGAATAAATTATCTAAAATACATTAAGAGGAATAAAAACTCTCAAGACCTACCCTTAAATCAGTTATGAAATTTCTCTGCAGGTAAAGATGTGAACATCTGAAAAAAAAAATTGTGATAACTTTAGACAAGATCAATCTAAAATTTATGTTGAAATACTATAACCCAGGTTCAGTCTACCAGGAAGAACAATAAAGAATGTCCAACTTGACCCACCTCGGAAGGAGAACACTGCTCAAATCTTGTATAGAATTTTCCATAAGCTGCAAATTTTCACATCTTAAAAGCCTTCTAAGGACCCGCAGAAATTCTTTCTTTTGATAAGGATGCCCTAAATCTTGATATGATAAATTTACAGACTGAAAAAACAAAAACAAAAAAAATTTCATTACAACAAATAGAGGGTGTAAGTTTTTAAGGAAACTGGGGTTTTGCATCAGTGGAGATTATTGCAAGGTAATTTGATTTTATTAACTGGGTTGATAACGTAAATAATTTGGCTACTTTAAAGAGTTTCTAAAGCTAACATTTCAGTTGAATGACAAAGGCCTAACACCTAACATGTCAGCTTCAGAAACTCTTTCCAGTGGCCAATTTACATGATCAACTCTTCAGTTGACAAAACTAAATTAAAATTCTTTACAGGCATGTCAAAGCAATTTAATCCAAATACTACAACAGGTTGAGATGTTCCACAACAGAAAATGTACGTATAAGTTAAGTGTGCATATATTGGACACAAATTTACCTCAGCATTTTCCCAGTTTTCCATCTTGTTCTTGTAGTTTCGTATTCTTTTTGGTTTGCTCTTTTTGAGGGGTACAGCAATTCTGAATTCTTCATTATCAGAATCCCCTAATTCTTCTTTTTCTTGCTCATGCACTTTACGAATATTCTCTACTTTGAATCCTTGAGGTGCTGGAGAAGAACAAAGGGTTTTAGATTAAGCTTGTGCATTGGAACAAGCAAAATTGAAAATCACACCAGTTTGCATAAATTTTCAGGGGCTGGAGATAATGGAAATGTTATATGTTGAAGGAGGTGGGTTAAGTAGGGGGCAGGGATGATAAAATTAGAAGGAATTCATTTTATTTCACATGCTTTTATTCAATCCTGTGAACTGACTTTGGTCAGGATATCATGCCCCAGTCATGCGGAAAAAAAACCCAATGGGGAAGGGAACAATAAATCAATTAAGACCAAAATATTTCAGAACTATCTTCTTGCATATGGTGTAAAGATCCGCTGTCTCGGACCTCCTTGAAACTGTTTCAAATGTATTAGGAAAATCGAGTTATCTTCGTTTAAAACATGACATGGCAGTTTGAATTACTTACTCCTTCTGACTCTGGGAGACCTTAGCATGTTTCCTTTAACATCCATGTCTTCCAGTTCATGCCATTTGCTGTATCTGTATTTGGACGAAGGCAACTGGTGAAAAGAAAAAACAAACACATTAAAATCCAACTAACGGGAAATAAACGACTCTTTCGTAGCGGACTAATAATTCATCGGCAGTGCGCCCCAAGTCACAAAGTCTGAGCTGTTTCTATGAGTGCATTTGATGCGTTTCAATACAACAAAAGGTTCCGAAGGCAGCTCAATGACCGGAAAATTTCGCTACACAATACTACGTCGCTTCAGATGAAGGTTTAAAAGATAATTCGAGATCTATCCAGAAGTACGTCTTAAGGATTTTTATGTTCGCGGGAGCCATCATTTTGCCGCGAGTTTGTATACAAACAGGCAGTTCTTCTCTACTTTCTCCAAAACTACCCATTTGTATGCATGATTCTCGTCGAATAAGTCATCTGAAGGGCTTGAAAATGCAGTGAAATGTTCCTTTAAACTAAATGTGAAAAAAAGATAATTTATTGAGATAAACTTCACCCACCGGCAAAGCATCCTCAGCTTCGTAGCTGAAATGTGATCGCTTTACATGGGTTTCTTCCTGTGCTTCATGAACTGTTAGGACCACAACCGGCACAGAGGTATAAACTTCTCCCTCATCTCGGGACGATCTGTGGTATAAAGAAGGAGAAGTGGTTAAATCGAGGTTTTTCCTGCTCACGCAGCATACCAAATACCAAAGAAAATAAAAATAACACAATCACTCACTCGTCTGCCATTATCGGAACGGTCATCTTGGAAGAAGCTTCGAGGGTTATCAACAGTAAGTACACTTAATTTCACAGCATCATCGGGCTTATCTTCAGCTAATAATGAGCTCGTAGGAATCTGAAGTCAGCAAAGATCTACTCGATGTAAACAGGACAGGAAACTTGAGCTTGTAGTCATTCGTGGAGATCAAAATTGCGTTTGATCACTGGAGCGAGAGCTTTGTCGTAATCCTTCACGGTATGAGCCTTTGTGACGTAAGTTACCTAGCAACACGGTAAATAAACAAGTACTTCGTGGCTTTGTTCGTCGTTAGAGGTCAGCCTAATCTCCCGTTTATTGGCGTATGAATCTATTGTTCTGTGGGTGTCTGGGATTTTGTTTGAATCGCTGCTTGGCTACACAGGAAGGTTTGTGTAACTAGGCATAGCAATGAAATAATTTAAAACTTTTAGATCGGACGGTGGCGACAGCAGAAAGTTTCGCTTGAAACCGCAACGCGCTAACGTTTTTTACTTCTCTTGATATTTAGCTGACTTCAAATGCAATATCTTCGTAAGATTTTTGTTTGCAGCCTCTTGAAATCAAAGTAATTCACAACGCTGCACAGTTATGTAAAGTATGGCGTGACGAGGAAATAATATTGGCGAGTCACACTTGATGAAGCTGTGACCTATTTCGTCGTTTTTCATCGCTTTCGTTTTTCGCCGTACCATGCGTGTTTGCACTAATCAACGAACTTTCTTAAGTCTTTTTAATTCTTTTTCCTGACGCCAAGTTTTAGTGATACAATGAAAGTAGTCTCTCTTGCTAGAGACTTAACAAGTTACAACCTCATCAACTTAAAATTTTCAAGTATGATGGACAAGAAATTTAGCATTTATTTTTCTCTTTTGCACTTTTTATCACTCTCCCTTTTTTTTTAGAACCTGCACATATTGATGCAGGGAAAGGGGGAGGGAAGACAGACGCACATATAACATTTACAAAACAAAAACTGAGGAGTTCTTTTTTTTTCTATTTATTTTTGTTTTTGTTTTTTTTACTTATAAACAAAACGAAAAATTAAAATCTAACGATAACATTTTATGCTATTGGGTTCTTTCAGAAGTCTACATATGCTCCTGGCACTTTTTAATACTTAAAAACTACTCAATAGTACAATTAAAGCGTTTTTCTAAAATACAGCCCCTGGAAGAATCCATACTCTAAAAAAAATTCCAGTGGTGCCATATTCAGTATACCAACGAAGAAAAAAATATGGAAAAAAAGTTCCAATGCCGAGCTCGTGTCTCACATGGTTCCTTAGCTGTACAGTAATCTATTCTAATGAGTATGGTTCTACAAGTGATACTTCATGCTCGCATCGAACCAAACTTCAAAACGTAACAACCTTCCATTCAGAAAACAGCAACCTTGCACTGTACTTGACGTTAACTATTAACAAACAACAATAACAAAACCCATTGTACTATACAATATCATACACTTCTAATATACTTTGACCTGAAACAGGTTTAACTGGACACAAATAAAAAAAGAGAAATAACAATGACCTCTCCAACTTCTAACAGAAAAACACAATTCTGAGGCACACTTCAAGCAATTTGTAAATGAAGTAAACTGAGTGAAATTTGCGCTACACTTATATTGTAATTTATCAATTTTTTACTCTTTATTATAAAATTATTTATCATTTACAACTACTTTCAATCATCTAAAGTTTGCAAAGTAAGCCTATGTATATTAATCTTTATACATGCTGAATTGATAAAAATAAGTTCCAAAGACTTTTATACATAGAGGCCAAATCACAAACTGAAGACATTGCTCACATGGAGCTGACTTGTCAATGTGCATATAAAATTAATTGAGAGCTCTTGCAAAAATACTCATTTGTATGTTGGCTTTACTCCATTTTGGTTGCATTGTCCCCTTCATTAAAGTCACATTTAACAGGCAACAGTGTATGAAATGAGGCTAATATCTAAAATGACATCAGAGTTTATCATAAATTGTAACATTGAACAAAATAAAGATAACCAAACCTACCCAACCAGGGAAAAAAGTTTACCACTCCTTCATGAACCACACTTTGGTTAATAAATATATTGTATCTGGCAAGCTTGTAGGCTAAGTCGAAATACAAACAACTAATACTAAGCAATACTACAAATGTCTTATAAGTTACTTATTATCAAACTGCTTTTTTTTACTGCCAAGTGTTTCTGTTCATTCTCATAAGGAGGGAAAAGCAAAACAGACAAAGAAGCAGAACAAATAGAGTAAACCTGTGAAACAAGTTTTTCTACTGTACAAAATAACCACCTGTAAAATATCCCAGGATATTTGCAATCTATTTGTTCATTGTTTGTGCTGTTGAACGATAGATGTGACACATATCATTAAGTATTTACAACAACAAACCCGTGTTTTAAAATTGCAGTAGCACCTATGAAGGTGCTGTGCAATAAAATGTACATGATACAGTATATATCACTATTCAAGTTACAAACCTCTAATCAAAATAATGATCTCAAGTAAAATGCAACTGAGGTGAGTAATATTCTCAGAGCAAAGTACATGTTTCACATAGATGATGATAACGATTTCACGTCCCACTGCATATCAACTCAAAGTTTCCAATATGACAGTTTGAATTTGATAACATTTATGCATTACTTATGAGTGGAGGCTCAGTATTTGTCATCCCCTGATCAAACAATTATCTACAATCTTTCTATAATCTTTTTTTCTTATTTTCAATTTTAAATTGCATCAATATTTGGAAGCTAAAATGACTCCGAAGTAACAAATTTAGTTTTTTCTTTAAGATCCCAAAATAACCAATGCTACTTAAGTGTTGTTACATGTTTCCTGTGTAGTTTTCAGATTTTAATTTTCATCCACTACTTGGAACATTGGAACATTGGTCCATTTATCCTTTGTAATTGGATCCAACTGTGCATGAATTCATGGCTGAAAGCCTTTCTTGTCCAAGGACACTGTTCGTCTGAGGGTAAACCTCACTGCATTGAAGCCTGTCCCTCCTCCAGAACTCTGCTGTGACGAGGAAGGAGAGTGATTTGAAGACCCTGAATCTGATCGTGACATCGGCATAAGTGGTGGCGTGCCCTCAATGTCATCCTGCCAAAATATGTTTCTTGCCATCATGACATTGAATTTATTTAACAAATGTAATTATCAGCCTGGCCGATGTGAACATAAACATTCCACTCAAATTAACAACTTGTGAAAATGCAGTCATCTCAGACTAAATTTGTTTTACCTTTTTAACTCACAGAAGTGATGAAAATGTAACTTCTCCCTTTAATATCCATACTTAATTCAGCAAAGGGGAGATGAAAATACTCAAACTCAGGTAAAGATTGTGATCTTGACCTAACATCAAATTCTTGTCACTAATTTATGAGGAAATGTGTAGTACAGCAGCAAGAGGGAAGAGTTAACAATCAAATCTTGGGGGTTTACAGTTTAAAATGCATCAAAAAGCACAGTTATATGTAATAATAATAATTTTACAGTGAGATTTTTTTAAATTGATATAAATTGTATTTCAAAAAGAGTAATTCTTATTTATAGACGAGGTGGTACATTGCATTTATAACTGATCTGACTATCAATTGTTGGTCAATAAGCATTTAAAAGGTCATTCAGTAAGTCTTTCAACCAATCGGTTATTTAGTGACGGACTGGTTGAAAGACAGACTGATGAACAGTTTATATGGACCCTTCTAAGAAATAGCAGCTTCATGGCAAGGGGGGTAATGTGTTTAACTATATTAGTTTGTATGATGAAGTTCAGTAACAGTCTTTCTGTTCATTGATAGGTCAATCAGTCAGTTGGTCAATTATTCCGTCAGCCATTTAGTTAGTTACTAACTGGTTGGTTGATTGAAAAATTGACTGACAGTTTTAATCAATCCCCCAAACATATCATCAAGCACAAAAGTTTTTGCAACACAAAAAGCTTTCACTCTTTTGCCTGGTGCTTATCATATTGTTAACCTTTCTACACTATTTGTTAAAAAATTCTTAAACAGGCCACCATGTGTGCTTTAAAGGAGCAAGTGCTTCAATGCTTTTGTCAGGTCAGTGAGCAATTGTGTGATTAACTTGCATGATGTAACTCAGCAGCTAGTGCCCTCTTTCAATTGATCAGTCAGTCAGTCAGTTGGTCAGTTTTCCATTCAACCATTCAGTCAGTCAGTAACTGGCTAGTTGAATGAAACATTGACAGACAGTTTTAGTCAATCCTAAAAACATTTCATGCTCAAAAGTTTTTTTCTTTTTTTTGGGATAGGAACAGCTAGAACTCTATTGCCTGGTGCTTAATTAACACATTGTTTTTCTTTCTACACTATTTAGTCAAAAATGCTTTAAAAAGCCTCCATAAGTGCTTAACTTTCTCATTGGGGCAGTTAAGAGTGTGTGATTAATCTTTGACATCCTAACATCAGTATGCATATTCTCCATAATGTTCTCTATACACTTCCTGAGGTGCTGACAAGGAGAATTTGTTTACCCATTAAAATCTTCTTAAGTTGGTGATCATTTCATTATTCTCATAAACCTCAATGTGTGATCTGGGGTGATATTGTAAGGAGAAATTAGTTGCACGTCATTTTTAGGAGTCAAAGGGTTGATTTGCATTAAGAAATGAAGTAGCAGTCCTTCTGTGGAATGATCACTTGATCAGTCACTTGTTCGGTCAACCATTCAGTCAGTCAATGACTGGTTGGTTGAGTGAAAAATTGACTGCAAGTTCTATTCAATCCTTAAGACACAATATAATTATCATGCACTAAGTTTTTTTTGTTGTTTGCAACACAAACATGCAACTGCCATTCTTTTCCCTGGTGCTTTTAATATTAACTTAATTCTTATTAAAATTTCATTAAAAAATGCTTAAACAAGCCAAAGATGCAAGAACCTTAACTTATGTGTCAAATGAGTCTTATTTGAGATTTATTGACTAAAAGCAACAACTAAAAATTGTAGTTTTGACATGGAGCTGTTTTACAGGTCATCAGCCAAATTGTGCCATATAGCCTGCCCTTTAGTTAGTGACTGACTGTCTAGCTGTATGAGAATGACTGATGAGTGCTATGTGTACTAGCTTATAATGGTGCAATAAAAACACACAAAAACAAACAAACAATCTAAAGAAGATCTGGTTGACAAACTTACTGGCAGTGACTCTGTGGAGTTTTGAGAGTCTGAATTTGAACTCTGAGTATTCTGTGAGTCAGGCAGATGGTGTGAATTCTGCAACATTCTTGAGGTTTTCAGTCTGCCGCAGGGTGGACAGCTGTGAATTCCAAACAGCATACATTAAACATAAAACAGGAATAAGCTAAATAATACACAAGTTTTGATTGGTTCTTACTGATGACGCACCTTGCTCTATAGGTATCTATCTGCGCCTGTGGTACCATGTCCATCATATCCAAACCTTCTTTCACCTTCAGCAGGAGCTCGTACTTCTCCCTGCCCCTTACCTAAAGGAACAAACCCCAGAGCTAGTTCAGTAATTTCAAAACACAATTTGAACAAAATAATATATAGATTTAGCCAAGCCTAAGTGCAGAGCTTGTGTTTTTTTTTTCCTCGCACGTCTCAAGGGCACAACGCCTTGCCCCAGCCAGGACTAGGACCCAGGTTATCCAACTCAGAGCCCAGTGCACTGACCACTGGACTACTGAACAAAGCTGTGGCGTTGATGTGCCCGCGGTACAGTTGACCACACATGTTAAAAGTATCACCTTGTACGGTTGTACAGTCATACAGTCGTACATCCAAATTTTTTAAGCTTGATAGGTTACTACTACTTTATGGGGCTACACATTGCGAGCTCCACTATAACCACATAAAGTACTTCTATTAACTAATATGTGAAGATGTTTCCCAGAAAATTATGATTTACCCCTTTAATGCCTTAGAGTGACTAGCCTCTAATTTCTCCCAACAATATCATCTCTGAATCGTACATTAAGGTCATGAGAATTAAGGAAATGATCACCAACCTAAGAAGCTCTTGATTGAACAAATTCTCCTTGTTAGAACTTTAAGAAATGTATGGTGAACAGTATGGAGAATACGCATGATGATATTTAAGTGTAAAAGGTTATGGCAGAAACACAAAAATTGCCAACTTGAAACCTTAATTTTTATTTTATCTTCATTCTTGCAACAGTTTTTTCATTAAGGCATCAAGTTGTACAATTCCAAACTGGCTTAAACTGGTGTGATAGCTGCAGCAATAAAATGAGATGCTGCAACTTGTGCACACATTATGCAGTTTGTGATACAGCCGCTTAATTGTCTTTACTGTTTTGCCCTGCTCTTATGTCTGAAACAGTTCAGGGCCCAGTTGTTCAAAGGGTGATTGGTGCTGACCCAAGGTAAGATTTTAATCTGGGTTTACTTATTCCTTTGTTCAAACGGCTTTCAGCAGTTAGTCTTCCCCATTCTTTTTAGAGCATCCAATCATGAATTGTACACAAAATCAACAAAATGTACTCAAAAAGAATTGTAATTAATTTTCTTTTAAAACGTTCAGATCTGAAATCAGATTTCACACTAATCCTGGGTTATCTTGACCCCCTCTTAAAAAGCCTGACCCTGTTGAACTTTCATTAATTTTCTTATCTCATACACAAAATCAGAAGAGTGGAGAAGGAGATATTTCCCAACTAAATTTCCACCAACCTGGAGAGTAAAGATCTCATCATCTTCCTCCTTCCTAAGACGTTTCATCACATTTCTGTCAACAGACACTGAGCGTACCTCAAATCCAGAAGACATGGTGGTATGAGCTGTAATCAAAGGAGAGGCAAAGGTTTTACAAAAATAATTTAATCATGCAAGGTAATGGAGCATTCTCTCATTCTTTTTTGATCACAAGGAATAAAACAATTTGCTTAAAATCAAAGTGTTTGCTACAGGATTGACGATGGAAACACTGATCGAAAAACATTTTTTTTTAACTTGTTTTTGAGATCAAATTGAAAAATAAAACCAGGCAAGAGGGATGTAACCCACAGTGGACTAGCACCTGTTCCAGGGGGAGTAACAAAACTGTAAACCATTGCTCCGCATCAACTTCTTGTATCAAAAAAAATTTACCTTTTGGAATTGTACATGGAACTCCAAACTTACATCGCTTTTTAGTTAGTTTAGGTACTTGACCATTTTGACTGGTGTCATCTGTACCAGTGGAAGTGGAAGGTTCTTGCGGCGGAGTCTGAGGAGCTGTAGATGTTTGAGGTGTTGTAGGCGGAGTCTCGGTTAGGGAAGAAGTGCTTACTGGTTGAGTCTGGTGGTCTATCACAGGCATCACAGGCACAACTGTGTTCCTTGATTGCTTTTTTGCCTCGGCAATCTCTTCATTGGTCCTGTCTCTTCCAGGACATGCACATATGCGTATATTTTGAGCTTTTCTTCCAACTACAGTATTACTGTTAATGAAAATTAAGGAAAAACTTTAAAATATATACATGTACATGTTGAATGAACAAAACTAATGGCACTAATCCAAGTTCTGCTTAAATGAAAGCTGCCATTTTGCAACTGTAACTCATAGTACAGTTGCCAGAGACAACATTTTTATGATCCAGGAAAAACACTCAAAACTTTTCACTTTGTAATATTTATGCAACAAATAAAGGCTAAATATCTAGACAAACAATGAGTAAGAGGCAAGTTATGATAAAAAAAAACAAACAAACAAACTAACAATCAAAGAATACATAAATTTCAGACAAATGTTAACCTTTCAGTATTTTTGCCACAGCATTGAGCACTGAATTTCCATAGTTTCATGAAAGCTTCTACAAAGATTGATCATCTTGACAACAATGAAGCACCCACTTACTTTTGCTCCAATGTGAAAATCACAAGGATAGGACGCCTGTTCAAACCCCCAGGACATGAACTGAAGCACATAAACTGGAACATGTTGGTAACAAAGTCACTTCCAGCTGCAAAATGTAAATCAAGAGAGGATGGAATGAGAATCAAAATGTAAGGAACTGTTCATGAAAATCATAACCATAGATTTTATGTTTAACAAATAGATTCCAAGTTGCCATGCGTCTGTTCAGTAATAGATCACAGATGACGTCAAAATGTGGTGAGAACAAAAAAAGTGGCACACGAGGCGCAGCCGAGTGTGTCACTGATGTTCTTACCACATTTTGACGTCATCTATGATCTATTACTGAACAGACACACAGCAACTTGGAATCTATTTGTGTTAAATAATAAAGAATTGAAAAAAGTTTTAATGATGACATCATCTATACGTCTGTCCTCAAATAGATCATAAGTGAGAACCAATCAGAATGCGTGCATAACTGAGCTTATTATATAACATATAACATAAAATAGACTTCAATCTGATTGGGCTTAAAAGAGTAATAAAACATAAAAAATGTAACTCTTTGGCCCTAAGAATGACCTATGTCTAATTTCTCCTTACAGTACACCCTGGAATCAAACATTAAGGTCACAAGAAAGAGGAAATTATCACCAACTAAAGCAGCTCTTGATTGTGAAAGAAATTCTCCTTGTTAGCACTTTGTAAAAAGTATAGAGAAGAGTATGGAGATTATGCATTCTGATGGAGGGCACAAAGGGTTTACCAAGAGTATGATTATAGAACAAACAAGACAAAAAGCTTTGAATCACACAGATGTCATCAAAGATTAGAGCTTCAGAGTTGACTTCACATTTTCTGAAGGCCACAACTTCACCTATGATTCAAGCAGTGTAACTACACTTTATTGTTAAAGTACCTTGAGGTGCATCCAGTGGTATTTTCAAACTGTGTCTGCCAGTCTCAGGACATGTGACGTAAAATGTGTTGGGATTTTCACATCTCAACAAGTGTTTTGGAGCATGATGGCCTAAAAAAAAAAAACAACAACAATTTTACTCAACATCAGCACATGTATAATTACTAAAAGAGATACTGTTAATAAGACAAATGACTAGTGTTTCAAGCTCTGACCATTTTTGGTCACCATGGCATGGCAAGTGGAAAAAGATTTTTGTAAGAATTTGCACAATAATGTAGCAAGTTGTTCCTGATCTTGTACAAAGTTGAAAAGTTTTAATCTGTGTGTGTGTTTATAGTTGTCAATTAACATTTAATCTAAACAACATCTACAGTGTGGAGCTTGGACTTGATTACTTATGCCCCATACACATCCAGCAAACCATTCATTCGAGAAGTTTACCATCTTTGTGTTTAGTGATATGATTAGGACATCGCTCAACAATTTCTCGATAATGATCAGGTTGCCTGTAAATCACCACCACTCTGATGTAAAACCCTGCATGGGCTGGAGGGAAAACTAAAACAAAAAGAAAACAAAGAAACAAGTTGGTACAAGGAAGCATACACATTAGTTTAAACAGAAACTTATTCCACAAGACTTCACTATCATGAAAACTCAAGTCATAAGGAAGTCATGAAGTTCAAAGTTGTATCTGCCTCATTAAACTGATGCTGGAAAAACCACAATCTGATGTAATCCAACTTGCAAGCTCTGTTTATTCAAGAGTGAGGTTCCACAGTGGCCACAAAACAGTACCAGAAATTCTACATGTAAATAACTCTTACCGAAAGCTATGACCTTCAAAGACTATACTTTTTTTAAAACTACCATCAAGGTAACTCAGGATTCTTTACCAATCTCTTGTCTTTTCACCCATTTGGCTCCATATGGGGATACAGGTGTGTAGGTGAGGCTGGTCCCATATTGTGTGGATGGCATCACAATAAATATGATTGGATACAAGTAGCTGTAGCCAAATGTCTATCAGACTGAACTCTTGTTCAAGAGATCTTGACTCAAATTCTACCACTATAACAGTATCACAACCATCTTTTTAGTTTTGTTAAACACCCTGCTCCACACTCAGTGATGCGGTTGTTTTTTTGTTTGTTTTTTTTTTTTAGGTGATCCAATTTTCCTACCAACAACAATTCTGACAAGGATTGTAGCTCACAATCTTGTTCTCTTGGTGACCACAAAACTGCACTCCAATCAGAGAAGTATTATGGCGTGCCACAAAACCAGGTTATTTATAACTTCATAAAACTGGACAGGTCAAGCCAACAGACTCATGATAAATAAAACACAGAACACTAACCATTTAGCTTTACTCTGATCGGTACAATACACCTCATCTTTACAAACAGTTTTTCTAAGGTAGGAGAGTAGGTCCACTGAGCTGATTTGGTGGGAGGGCCTTTCTCCTCTTCAAATCCCAAACTGAACCCGTACAGACCAGGGAAGTCAGTGTTACACACAATCAGCGGCTGTGGGCTGGGCTGTTCAGGTGGGGGTGTAGCTAAAGTGGATGGTAAAGTAGGAGAGTGGTCCAGAGGTTCCTGCTTGAAGCCCGATTGTTGTTGTGGATTTGGAAAATTTTGTTCTTGTAAAAGTTGAAGCATCTGAATGAAGAAAAGCAGAATTTCATCTATTGTGTTGTGAGAGGTCAATCTGTAGCTTGAGACCCACAGACCCAACCCTTCTCCTGGTCTCCTTACTATGAAGCAAGTGAGGGTACTGCGGCTTCTGGATAGAATGCTAACTGCCATTTTTCAGGTTTCCCTTACAATTTGCCAAACGAATGACTGGAATTGAGCATTTTTTTTAACTCCAAATTGAAATTTGTACTATTTATTTCACATCTCAATAACTGTTTAACAATCATGCAGAAACTTTCATGAAAGTAGTACCTCAGGTCTCAGAACAGCAACACTTTCTAAATTCATCTCAACACTCTCTGGAATTGCAAAGGAAAAGTAACAGATCATATGCAAACCTGCTGGCTTTGAAAGTCAGGAAAAAGCACAACTAAACATTTGCACAAAGGCATGAAAGAAACCTTTAAAGAGTTCCAGTTAGTTAATATAACAACATGTTTCTGTACAGTACATAAATTTGTCTGGTTTTTTCAGAAATTTTTCAGTGGGGGAAGAAAAAGTGTAACAAAATTTTTAGTCACCAGGCCAACAGAAGTCCCAGACACAGCTAGTCACAGTATTCCTTATTAACTTAATTCTAATAAATACCTCATAATAACTGAGTTCAAGGTCTATATTGTAAGTTATAGACCAAGTTTTTTAATGTTTGAGTTTATGTCCCAATGGAAAAGCAGGCCGTACTGTGAAATACTAAATTGACCAATCCTAAATCTAAAGCTATTTAAGAGATATAGCAATTCTTAAAATTAAAGGAGTTCATGGAAAAAGCCAGAAATGAATCCTGATAGAATACTCAAATCTCCTTCCATAACATCTTGTATTTCCTTGTAAAGCAGAGGGAGAAGTAGATGTTGCATCAAAATTCTTGTTAGGATTTTAATCCATGTACCCATCGAATAGAATTTGAAGACTGACTTTGCAGCTACAACAACATACCATGTATATTTTCATCTGACACATTTATAACTGTAGGCGCCACATGAACTTGAGTTTGCATGCTGAAAACAAAACCCAAAATTGTCAATTATAGTTACAAAATGTAATTACAAATCAAACCTACTGTTTCCAACAAGTAATCAGAGTGCAAGTTCTCATAACAATTTTCCCACACAGTAAAACAGAGAGCCTGTGAGATTCAAGACAGAGCAGAGCCTGCTTAACAATAGTAAAAAAAAAAAACACAAGCTCAAGCACAACACATCCTGTTTCACCATGAAAATCACCTTAGATGCTAGCAAAGGGCAAGCACAAGTGAAAGGAAATATTCTGATCCTGCTATGCTTGTGCTTGTAATAATGCACTTGTGTTCATGCTTTCTTCAAGGCTGTTTTGACAGTGAACTAAGAGCTATTATGCTTATGTTTGTGCTTTATGCTAGCTTGTGCCTGCATCACTAGTGAAAACCAGGCTTAAATCCTGGGTAGACCTTTACCAGTTAAATATTAAAGAAGTAAAAGATCTACTTCAACAACAAAAGCAAAATAAATAAGCAAACATTTGTACCTCTGCAAATCTCCTTGATTCTGAAACATACTATGGACACTTGAAAACATTTGGTCTAGTGTTTCTTGAGACAGGAAAGGCTCTAAAGAGCAGTTAGAGCCCTGGGAAGATGGCTGCGACATGGCTGAAATCAATGAGCACACAATGATCACAATGTTGCTGAAGCCTTTAGTGTCAGCCTTAAAAGCAATTACAAAGAGATCCATTCTGGTTACTAGCATGAATTCTCACCTGCAGAAATAGCTGAAAGTACCCTTAATTCTTTTACTACCAAGTGAGATTTAACCCTTTTCCACCCTAATATCAGTATTCAGGGCGTGAAATTGCACCTAATACAGGCGCCAATGCGACTAAATTTTTCACTTTGGCGACCAAATCCTGAAAGTTAGTCGCCAAATTGGCGACTAGAACGTTTCATCATAACCTTACCAAGAGATATAGTGAATTAAAAAGATTTGCAAAGATAAATCCGCTGCAAACTTCCTCGTTAAGTTTGCTTCCAAAACGTAGCACATGCATCTCGATCAATAACTAGACACCATCTTGGATTTAAATGAGCCTGAACTTTGTATATCATCCATCCTAGTGTCCACTTTGTAGCACATTAAAGATCTTTTCCCTAACTTAATTTTGGAGGGTCTATCTAGAACGCTGACAGCTTAAAGAAAGATTTTGTCTGTCTTTGAAAATGGCGACCAACTTTTTTTGAATTGGCTACCACTTTGAAGAATTTAGGAGCCATGTGGCTGTCAGAAAAAAAAGTTAATTTCACACCCTGAGTATGCATATTTTCCATACTGTTCCCTAAACATTTCCTAAGATACTGACATGGAGAATTTATGTAAGAATCAAGAGCTTCTTTAGTCTGTAATCAGCTCCTTTATTCTCCTGACCTTAATGTTTGATTCAGGGTTGATACAGTAAGGAGAAATTAGATGCCAGTCACTCTAAGGGGTTTAAAAGGGTGAAAAGTAACTTCTCCTGAACATTTTTACAACCTTATACACATGTAAAGCAAACAGAACTTACTTAACCATACTCATTCACTGGGGGTTGTTCCTATGATTTAACCTAAATTTCCAAAACTGAGTAGTTACAAAAAAATATAGCAGCAAGAGGGGAGAATTAAACATCACATCTTAGGAGTTGAAGAGTTCAACCAAATATATGTACATGGCTCACAGCTATACAGTTAACATTACTATTACAAATGATACTACACTGAAATTATAAGTCTGACTGGGTGACGGTGGAATTTTCCATGTTCTTCCTCATGAACAATTCACTTTTCATTTATATGCAAGAGACCCACCTATTAGTCATGTAAAAGGTCATCAGTGGTAATTTTAAAAACCACAAAAAAAACATCTAAGACAACAGTGTTTTGCTGTATAGCAATCTCTTAAAAACTTTGTAATTTCCAATGCAATGGAGTGAGATTCTATGTAAGAAGTGTCTACAGCTAGGTTTCATATATATATTTTTGAGGATGTTATATAAACACTAATAATAAATACTTGGAGCAATTTGAAAATTTGGTCACATAACTGAGTTATCTGATCTCCCATTCATAGGGTAATGTACACTTGTTTTGATCACAGGTGTTTATTACACTTCTTCTACGTTTTGCAATATATCCAAGGTTAATGTCAATTGTAAAGTAGTTTGGAAATTAGCCCCAGTCATGACAAAACTGACCACCTATTTTAAAATGGTTCGATTGTTGATTCACATGGAAAGTGAAATATCACAATCCATAATTAACACCTTAAAATATGCATTCAAATGAAAAAAAAACCCTTGAAACCCCAGCTCAAGTACTGGAGATGAAATATTCGTTGCTTGAGATCTGGATACTATCACAGATCTATTACAATGATAAGCTTAGATCGTATCCTAACAGATGTCTAGTTTTGTAAATTCTATTTTTCCTCTAAAAGATAATGGTCGAATTCCACACATTAGACGATAAACAATTCAATTAACACAAGCAGGCTTGAAAATAAACCACAGAATTGAAAACAATGTGAAGTTTCAGTTCCAAACACGACCTCAACTTCCGATGTAAACAAAGAAACCACAACGAAGAGGGACCAAATATAGTTCGACTTGGTGCTGGATTCGTTTACACTAAACCCCAGTATCTTTTCCGGTGCGAGGAGTTTCTTAATAACGTTGATTAGTTATGAATTACTGCTACTTGCACCTTAAGCTGATACACTGAATAGAACCATCTCTGATGAGAGATACAAATTCTGAAAATTTTCCATTCATGTGAAATCAATTCCAAACGATCTCTTGTTCGAAATCGTCTGAGTTGAGGTATCCATTCGTTCTTGCTACTTCACAGCGAAATCTCGATGAAAACTTCGATGTCTTGGACGAAGATGGATTAGTACTCAGAGCAATAACAGATTATACCAACCTATTTTCAAGATAAGACTTCAAAACTTCACAGCAATCTACAAGAACCAAATCTCTACCATTTTGGATGGCAAACCACGCGCGCTGATTCAACATGCATGCTCAGCATCAAAATGTCAGGCGAGTAAACTGGAGCGAATCAATCAATGAAACGTTTATATCGTACTATTAAAACAAAGCCAATAGAGGCACTCTTTATATCTGAGAAAGATAAGCACGTGGTCTATTACTTCCGGTTGATTACCACCGTATTTCACACAGATAAATAGTCAGAAACTGTGTTTTGACAAGATATGAGAGATATAAACCAGATTTTTGCACTCGAATTCAAGGATAATCTCTCAAAACAATCACGATTTCTTTCCAAGCCCTCGCGCTAATCATGATAAGAACTGCACCCTATTGTGACAGCAGAGAATTGTTTTCTGCAAGTCGAAAACGCATCGCTGAGTTTTCTGCTTCGTGGATTTTTCGCAGCAATTTAAAGATGGCGCCGTAAATCCGACGGAACGCGTGTAAAATTTTATTGTCCGATTTGGCGGGAAAAATGGCTCGCCCAGACTTGCCCGATACAAAAGTGCTAATTTATGCCAAATATTCCTGAAACAATAACCTGCTTCCAAAGATATTTCCTGCGCAAACAACAGGATTGCACCTCCCCGCCGTGTAAAATGGTCAGTACGAGACAACCTGTCGCTATTTTTAAATGAGAAGCCTAGCACGTTACGTTAAAGGAGAAAGCAATGAAGGAGATGCTTTTTTTGGAACCCCTTCTCCTATATACAGTTGAACCCTGGCGACTCGAATTGCCAAGGGAAATTGAAATTACTTCGAATTATCAGGGTTTCGAGTTATAGGAGTTTAGAACGGAAAGACCAGAAACACTAGATTAAACTGGTTTTATGATTATACATGTTTTTTCGGAGGCCCATAAGCAAAACTCCTGCGCTGCACTAGTTACTGGAAAGGCTGTGAACCGGGGTGGCAAGTGCCTCGCACATTGAGTTTTGAGGGGAAGAAGAAACATGTTATTGTTCTCAAGAATGAACTGGGCACTATTGACAAGTAATGACAAACAACAGACCGACTCCAACTTACGCGCAATTATTTCTCTTAGCCGGGAAGAACTGTTAAAACTGTTTGTTTGCAGACATACAAACGTGTGATATCGACAAAGATCAATTTGTCATAATATACAAATGAGATTAAATGTAATCTTCCGGTGCAAAATGCTATGGTTCATTGGTCCGCAAAAGTGAAAATCGACTTCGAGTTATCGAGGATAAAATTATAAAGAAAAATACCTGCAGGTAAGTAAATAGCGCTACGAGTTAGCAGGGTTTCGAAATATAGGGGTTAAAATTACAGTAAATATATGAGGCAAATCAAAGGGAAATCAGTTTTGCTTCGGGTTAGCGAGGAATTCGAGTTACCAAGGGTTCGAGTTATCGGGGTTTAACTGTGGGTAAATTTCTATTACATACATTTTTCGGAAGAAACGAGTGTTGAGAACAGTCACACTGTATTTTTTTGGAGGTTAGAGTAACACATTTAAGAGGGTGATTGATTGATTTAAAACCTCCTCGTTTACTGGTGACACTGGGCTCCCTACTCCCCGGCTGTCGACTAGATTATGATGGTGGGTGGTGAGAGCGCCCGCCTCCCGCCACTCGCTGGCGAAAGTTCGATTCCCGGACCTGGCATCACATGTATGTGGTTGTCGTCCTTACCCCTAGGGTTTTTCCTCGGGGGTTTTTCTCCGAGGGTTTTTCTCAGGGTTTCCGGGTTTGATCCTTCCACTAAAAGCAACATTCCACATTCCAATTCGATCTAGAAACAGTGGACAAGAAGAGCCACTAACGGAATATCCATTGTTAAATTCCCATTTATTTCTTTACATTTAAAAAAGCCTTTTGAGTTTTGATGATTTAAAATTAATAGTGACGAGAAAACAGGGAAAATTAGAGAACTTATACAGAGACCGTCGTTTTGCAGACACAGACAGCAACCGAAAGAAGCCTGATGGAAATAATTGTAGGGCGCTTCAACGCCAGTAGATCATCTAGAAGATTTTCTTTTATACAGCATTTTAAACCAAACTGTGCTAACCAAAAAGGAGTAGCAAGAGATTATAAACTGTCTCTTGAGGTTAGCGTGAGCACCAGGTATGAGCACTTCAGTTTTTGGCTGCCGCGCGCGTCTCAAAAACGTTTGTGCTCAAACCCCCTATGGAAGAAAACGGGTAGAAGGACGAAATGCGGAGAGTTATATATTGGTATCCGTTCGGGACAGATTTAAAAGACAAAACAAAACAAAAAGCGACAAAAAGCCGGGAGACCAAAGAGGCAGATCTCACCCCCGACGGGAGACGCGCCCCGCCCCCCACCCCCTCCAACTTCCCACTCCTGTCACCAGCAGGGGCAGCGCGCAGCGGCCGGTAATCCTGAATGACAGGCACCAGCAGAGACGGTGGAACCTATTACTAGTGGTTTTTTTTCTCTGTCTTTTATCATCCACACATACCTCGTACTAAAGCAAAATAAAAATGTCGCCCCTACAAGAAGTGGAAGGGAGGGGGGAATTAACCCTCCCCAACCCAGCCTTCCCAGCGCTATCTCCGAGGTCCCTTGTTAAGGGAAGCGAGATCAGTTAAGGTCATCAACCCCTCACCTCCAGGGGGACGGGAGCATGGGACGGGGCTGCCAGTGGGAGAGTAGGTTTTAGTCAGAACTGTTACGAGACAGGGATAAATTTCGTATTTCTTTGCAGTTAGGAAAAGTGTACGCATGCGCAAATAGGAAAATGTAACTGGCCGTGGCTCAAGCTCCAGTGAGTACCCGATGAAAGCCTGTGACGTTTTGTATTGCATGGAGGAATTACAGACGAGTTACCTCAAAACTGAACTGAAACTGAATTTTTAATTCGTTTCTTAATAAAATTTGTCATGACATGAATCTCTATCAAACTTAAGCTGCTTGGTAGCAAAAAATTATTTTTTTAAAATTTCGTCGAATAAATTCTTAATTCGCCTACGATATAATATCCCGAATAGTTTGCATCGTATTTACAAGTAAAGTTGGCAAGATGGGACGATTGTTGCTACAACGATGGTTGACCTGTCCCGATAGTGCTCGTAAAATACTGGAAAGTTCCTCGCCGTAATACCAAAAAGTTGCTAAAAAATTGTCAAAAACCTAAAAAGTTGTTACCTAAATTTCAAAATTTGCTACCTAAATTTCTTGATATCCTTAAATGAACGTTGATTACAAGCTTTCTTTTTCGTTATTCACAATAATTGCTGAAAATTGGACAAGAGAAATAGCTCGAAACTTAGCTTTAAAGAGTTGCTCGCAAATGTGGGCGAAATGTAACGATACTTCGGTCAAACGGAAGAAAACGAAAAGCTCATTTGAAGTCCTGCCAACGTCATTTCAACCAGTTATGTCACAAGATTCGATAAAGATCGCAATAGGCCTGGGAATTGTTGTCACGTGACAGGCTATTTGTTGGTTTTTCTTGAAATGGTTTCCTTTTTCACGCTTGATAAATACTTTAATCCTATATTTTGCTCAAGAATTGCTCAGAAAAGCAAAAATTGCTTGAAGTTGCTAAAACCGCAAGAGGTTGCTCCAAACACCAAAAGTTTAAATTTCTCAAAAGTTGCCAAGCACAATCGGGACGGGCCCAACGATGGTCGCTAAATAGGGTCTGTGACACCGTTCACAAAGTAGAAAATAATGGATCACGAAAATCGGAACTTGTCTTCGTCAACTGACAGAAAAACAAAGAAAGGATACAATGCATTTTATAATCTCGCAAAAATAAGCAGGTAACACTCTAGTCGGCCTCGTTTATATTTTTCTCAAGAACTCGAATAACGAGACCAAACAAGCAGCACCCTCAAGTAGTGTTTGAGGAAAGAAAACTGCAAAAGACCAGGTAGGATCTTTTTCCTATTTGAACCAACAAAATTTAGGCTGAGTGAATGAAGCAGCAATTTCATCGACTGATCCGCTTAGTCATTTCTACCTTATTGTAAGCGCCCTAAAAGGAACCTTCTCCCTTAACAGCTTTGAGCGATTTCTCTCTTTAAATTGAAGCGAATAATTTTCTTTTTTTTTTTCTTCCAAATATCATTGGAATCATCAAAATTTTAACATGAATTAACAACGATTTTCTCGGAAAATATGTAAACCTAAGACAAAAAACTGTCAGTTTGATCAGTATCTAAAGAAATTGAGGTTCCAAAATACATTGAGGTAAGATTGGTTTGTGACATCTTTGTGTCCATGTGTTCCGCAACCAAGAGTTTTGCGGACGTTATAAGAAAATCACACGATCTAAAAGAACTAGAACTCTCATACAATTGTACCCTCTTCGTTGTACTTCAGAACTGTTCCAGGAGAGGCCACAGTCCAGACTCGATTCTCAGTTTTCCACTTTCGCCAAAATTTGCTTCGTCGAGTGAACCACACGTAGAAGTAGTGAATTCTCAAGAGGATCATTATTCCACAAAGAGCATAAATAGCGGCAAACACTGCAGTTGTTTCCGGCTCCTTGGACTTGACTAACATTTGAAAAATACCAAATCCTAAAATGGTGCAAATACTAAATATTGTGACAAACAAGTACCAGAGATCCAAGCGACTGCAAGGTCCCAGTCCATCGCGGGGTATGCGCCACTGTCAGAAAGATAAAAATAGAAGGAAAGAATGAACAAAGCAGTGTAATATTTCGCACTATATTTTCGGCAGAAAAATAGCGAAGTAATCAAATTTGAATCAGCCTATCGTAGTTAGGACGTGGTCAGAAGTACAAAAAAATGGTTGATTTGCACAAGTGTGGTAAAAGAGACTTTAGTGTAAACACGAGACTACCATGCCAAGGAACGAATTTCAACAGCAGTGAGCACGAACTCTATTTAAAAACCTCCCGACCATCTTCTCGTCTAATTAACTGACCAATTTGCATTGTTAAGACTGGAGTTACCTCCTACAGTCGTCGGAGCCCGTAAAATTTGCATATTCATCCGAAACAAGAGATTATTTTGTAATCTCTCGCCCGAAACCCTTGCTCCTGAACCATTGTTTTAAATAAGATCTGGCTTATTCTACCAAACGCAAGTCTTAACAAAGCATATTTGTCCGCAAATCTTTGATGCGTCCTTTCCTACAATTTTACACCATTGAAGAAGCCCATCAAATTCTGGTGAAATTGAGGAGCTCGAAGGGTGGTGGTGGGGGGGGGGGGGGGTTGGGTTGTAATTGGTCGATAGTCGGAAACGCATCAAACCTTACGCGTTTTTAAATGAAAACGAGTTATTGTAGAAATTTGAAAACGAAAACGCTACTGCAAGTGATAGAGATTATTCCATGGAAAGTTCGCACAAACGATTTTTATTCACGATCGATTTGCGATGCATCAAAAAAAATTACAAGTGAGCACAGTAAACGAGTGTTTTTTTTTTCTCGCTGCATTGCAACGAGTGAATAAAAATCGTTGAAGCAATTTTCATGGTGCGATGTTTTTATTTCATGCATACTAATTTAATTTCACATTTCAATGCTAACAAACGACTGTGGATGTACATCTTTCGTCCAATCAGAGACACAAACAAGAGTACTTCAAGGAGTAATTCTCAGTATGTATGAGATAAATATTATTACGCATATATTTTTTTTCCGTGAACAAAACAGATACATTTGGTCGGAGCCACAGTAGAATGTTCGGTTACAAATTGCATTCAAGCCTCCCAAGAGGGTTTCCTTGGTTTCAGGCGACACACTTACAAACCCCTGTCCTTACGCGTGACTAAACAGACGCTATTTATATGTAAATGTTGCCTGGCGAAGCTAGAAGCTCAAATGCCCAGAGCCACTTTACTTGAGCATTGCACTTCTTCTGTATCAAATAGATAGTGAACATTGACTATCGGCTCTAGCAGTTAGAACCGTCAGAGTACTTCTGAATACTTTAATACAAAAATTACGCCTATCTCTTTTTTTCCCCGCAAATAGTCGCCCGCTTTGACCTTGAACTAGAATCTCCAAGCAATTTACAACTCACGGTAGTAGTCTACAGCGCGTGATCAGTAAGAGACAAACACGTGTTACTCCACCAACACTTCTTGGAAACCTTAACATTACATTTAATATCGAGTCTTTTCAAGTTCGATGCGCAACATAATAGTTACACTCGTTCAAATCTCACAAGCAGGTCCAGGAAAAATAAAAGTTTTAAAATTGTAATTTAATAGCGGAGCTCGCAAAGCGTAGCCCCATAATTATACAAAATAGTAGTAACCCATCAAGCCGAAAAAATTTGGATGTACGACCGTACGACCGTACAAGGTGCTACTTTTAGCATACGCGGCCAACTGTACCACGGGCACCATCTTATAATCAGTCCTCTACACGGACACGGAGAAGTTGCGAATGATTAATATACCACGCACTTTATCCATAGCAGGGGTTTAGTTTTGTCGAAGAGCCGTGTGGAGAAAAAAAATGCGAGCTCCGCTTTTAGGCTTGCCTAAATCTATATATTAGACAGGTAATGAAAGATGGCGAAATTTGTACTCGGTCTTCGAGGGATGTTCGTTATTCATTTTTCTCAAGCACGGGAGAAAGAGGTCAACCTCTCGAGGACTAAAGCATCACACCTATGGTCTCGCGGCGCGAAGCTCTACTACTGTACGTCAAAGGGCGGAACAAGGAAAAAAACTTGGCGCCCCGCGAGAAATCGAACTTTAGACCTTGGGATTTCGCGCTTCAAAGAGACAAAGAGTACTCTGTATCTCCCTCGTGGAATCGAACCTCTCACCATCGGTTTCTTTAGTTACCATTTGAGCTTCAGAATACCCCTAGATTAGTACGGCCATATTAACATGAAAATACAATTTGGGGACCCTCTACAATTTCGCGAAAAAAAATTCAATGCAAACAAACATCTGAAGGGGAAAAATTATGATTAAAAGCATTTCTAGTGAAAATTGACATTTAAAACCTATTTCACCAAAAAAAAAAATTTATATGGCACTACGCGGCTAGAAAAAAAAAAGAAAAAAAAACCACGGTGCAGCAAGTTTCTCTATTGAATCCCTTTTTTCTCTTTGAAGCGAAGGTTTAATTTAATTCAATTCGAAGTCGAGATCTGGGTTGGCTTCGTCACGGTATGGTAAAAAAGTTATAGGTTCGAATTCGAACAAATGGTTTTCCGAAATTACAGAAGATTTCTTGATTTCTTCATCAGTGAACCGCAGGATTCAACGCTTAAGGGTCAAATAAGTATTTTAACTGCACCGAAAACAAACATCTATTATTGGACTCATCTGATATTATATTCAGTCCGACTAATCACTACAATTTGGACAAATTCCAAACAAACAAATATTTCAAGGGTGGAAGAAATAATTTTGAGCGTTTCTGGCACAAAATAAAAGTTAAAATTTATTTTCGGACAGGTGAAAAGATAAAGTTTTTTTTGGATGCAAAGAAAGTGATTAATATTTGAACTTTTTATATCATTGTAATTCTATTCGTTCTTTTTTTTTCTTTTCTTGAAGGTTGCAAAAACTACAGTCACAACTGCCAAATTTCTCACTTTTTTTTTCTAATTTTCAATTATTTAGCTTCTCGTTTAATTGCAATCTTTCTATTTGAAACAACAATCGCGCCTCTTTCCAACAGTGAAAACTGTTTAAAATGCTCATCAATAAATCAGTGGGCAAGATTTTAGACGTCGTTTATAGCCTTCCCTGTCGAAAGCTTCTTTCTGAATAATCTTTCATAGACTAAACTGCAAGCTTTCTATAAAATTTAAATTTACTTAAACTGCAAATATGACGCAGTTTACGATAGCAATATTCGACTTTCACATCGTTGCTTTATACTCAAAGAGTTACCCAATCAAATTTACGTTGTATCAACAAAAAATTACAATACTGGTACGCTATGCCCACTTAACTATGAGAAATGGATGCCAGCCAGTTTTCCGAAAAAAGAAAAAAAAACCATTTCGGGTAATTATTCAACGGGTTCGACTCAGTGGTTTTGAAGTTTCTTTTGCATTCACCGCGACTTGCCATTAGAAAATTTCCGGTGGCAAAGTCAAATTAGTATTTTGATAACATTACAGGACAAACAGTATTTATACTCACTAATGTATGACAATACAGAAATTGGATGATCCGCGAGGTTTGTGATGATAGAAAACCAGTCGGGCGTGAGAATATAAACAAAGAAACCGGCATAAATAATATTCAAACGATGTTAATGTTTTAGTTGGCCTCTTGCATATAACAAAGTCTATTAAAAGTTAACAAAACGTGGGAACCATGTGTCGGGATTCAAATAGATATTATTTGTTTCTTAATAAAAAAAAAATGCATCGCTTACCTGCTGAAACGGTTTTGTCCGCTTCCTGATAACCACAAATCGTGAACACAGCTCACACGAGGTCGTTTGGGAAATTTGGAACCACTTTACCAGACAACTCTCGTGAACCCATTTCGCAGACCCAGCGCATTTGCACGGGCTGATTAAAACTTCTTCTCCTCTACTTTGACAAATTCTACACTCATCCTCTTCAGTCAAGTCGGCACACCCGTCCTTTAAGGGCGCGACAGCCGACGAGGAGAGAAGTGGGTCTTCGCTGGATGTGCTCTTTTTGTCAGCGAACGAATGATCGCTACAGTCAGCGCTTCCGATTGCATCTTGAATCTCGCTGTTTTTCGATGATCCCACTACGTGCTCGTTCTCTTTCGAGGAATTTATCACTGTCATGTCACGCTGCGTGGTAACAGCATCCATTGGGGTACGGTTATCCAAAATACTTTCCTCTTCGAGTTTTATACAGGTACCTTCCATGTCTGCGACCGTCAAATTTCTGTTAAATTGCCACTAACATCTATGAAAACAAAAAAAGCGAATTTTTTTCGCTGTCACCGAAACTTCCCTATCGCGTGATGAGCGAAATTAAGTCAATTTTCCAGACTTGTCGTCGCTAGTTGTGACAATATCTTTTTAAATATATTTTACCTTACTTTAACTGACGCACTGAAGTCATTCTCAGGCCCCTCAGCCACAATCTTATTAGTGATAGGCGTCAAATTATTACGGTGTACTTATCTATTTGATGACTTGCACTGTCTGATGGAGAGAGACACCTCTTGGCGCACTAATAAATATTTGTTTGGACAAAACACACAAAAAAATCGTGATTTTTGTCGCCTGTCAAAGAGCTTTGTGGTAGGTAAGTGTGATTGGTTTACAAAGCCTTTTGTTCACACGCTCAGGTGAAACTTCTCGCGAAGATTCGATTCTTATTGGTTCGTGACCGGTAACTAAGTGAACCGGAAGTGAATTCAACACTTTCATATGGTTTGTGTGACAGAAAGGAAGTGAGAAATTGGTATCAGTTCCTATATTCCTAAAGACAGGGATTTATGATACACCGAGAATTTCATCCAATAGATTGTCTACCGCCTCAACAGAAAGCACTTCACGTGCCGTGATTTTACAACCTGCTGTACGCGCGTGCTAATCTGCATTTTTGCCCTGAAGCGCAAAATCATTGTTTAGACTTCGTGAACTTTATCAATTTCCGGCTCGTGCACGCGAATTACAGACTCGAAGAGCCATTAATTCGTCAAGGCACGAGTTGTTAAGACTTGTTTTTAGATATTAAGACGTCATAACGGTTATTTGCTAAGTCTTATAAATTACCTGTGTCTATTTATGTCACTTAAAGTGGTTTTGAGAAGCCATTAACTCAAGGCTCTCACAAAATTTCCCGACCACTATAGACCGCAGAAAAGTTTAAACGAGATTTTATTACCTTTTCCTACACCGCAAACTTGCAGTATTAGCAGAAAGCAAGGCAATATCTTGTTAGAACCTCACGCGAGCGGTTTGCTTTCAGTCTCAAGCGAAACAAATTTCTTTTGTGTATACGATTGGTATATGCGTCTTTCTTAATTAACAGAATACAAATTATGACAGAATTATGCCCAATTTCCGGCGAATGTCAGTGAAACTTTCTTTAGCTTGGGAGCAAAATAGTAATCAGAGGAACAGTTCATCTTATTTTATCAAATCGTTGATACAAATAATTTGCAATTAAAAGTAATATTGTTAAAAGCCATTGACAGACTTTTATGGCAACCAGGTCTAGAATGGTCGTCAACCGGAATGAATTTTATGAAAACTTTCTCGTATTCCTGTCCGGTGAAATTTCCTGATCATGAGTACTTACGAGGAACTGGTCTTCAGCTGCACCATCCTGTAGAAGACTGAGATGATTAGACACCAAAAGAGTCTTTTTTACTTAAAGGCGCGATGTCCGTATTTGGGTACCGGTGTGTTATATAACTAAACTGAACAAAAGCAAAAATTTGACAATGTCTTATCTAAGGTTGATCTTACGGCCCTTCTGAAGATAAGTGGCTGTAACATATCAAATCTACCAGAAAAAAGAAGCAACCACGAAAGTCAGTCCAAGTAAAGCAGTCCGCTTGAAACGTCGCCGAAAACTTCCTGGAAAGATTACCTGTTTCGTTATTCGCGCCGTATCAGCAACAAATTCTAAACTTATCTCAAAGAAATTACCTAGATGAAATGAACCTCGTCATCTCCACCTCTGATTTACTGTCTTTGTGATCGCTGAAATGTGTGTGATATTTGGAGCAATATCAATAATTAAGTCTCAGCGGGAATAATAACATTTCTTTGGGAAAATAGTCTAACAGTTCTTCCCTTGCGGCCGGTTTGGCCTCAGTTAACCTATCTCATTCCACCACGTACGGAACACATGATCAAACGTTCTATCACGAAAAGAGCACGTCGAAAAAAGCGTCTGAAATTTTTGGATAATCTGAACAAGTTTGAGTTGACTAAGTTGTGCCAGTGGTTTATAGTTTGAAGAAAAAAATGACTTTTACGTACCTAACTACTCCAAGCCTGTCCACATCCTTATAAAAATGCAGTTCTCACTGACACAACTGAGACAATATTGTGACTGGCCAATCGATTTGAATTATCTTTGTAGTCAAAACATTCTTTGAACAGAGCAAACTACTTTTGTTACAGATGCAAAAATGCAAGTAGTTGAACGAAACAATTGATTTCCAGAAAAAATATTGACTTGAGGCACATACACTGTACAAGAGGGTTTCAAGGTTAGAGATTTGATGATTGGAAATATAAAAACTAAATTTAGCTCCCGTATTAATATACCTAAAACATTAAACAGAGTGATCTGTAGAACACAACTTAGAAAAATTCCTATAAAAATTCTATCCTCGTTTTTAAGTATGCATAATCGAGAAGACAGATATTCACAAAGCTCCATTGACAATTTGGACTTTAGCACACCTTCACGAGGCAATTGAATGAAACAGACGCACTTTTGTGCAATTGAGCAGAATTAATCGTGCTTTCATCCAACGCACGTGATTGTATGTGTCCTCAGCCAACGAAGCGCTTCAACCAAATTAAAGAGTATTTCAAAGGCAGCATCCTACATATTAAATTCTGCTTCATCTACAGAGTGTAAAAAACAAGATAAAATAAGATGACTTTTCTTATCATGATCTATGTTCGTAACGTTATAGAGAGTGTCTGAGACGCTTAGACAAGGATTAAGTTCGTGCGTACACGAACAAGCCTGTCGCCTTAGCGGTACGTAAGTGAATGATTTCAAAAGCAGAATGTTAGTGCAAGTGTTGGGAGCCTTGAGGAACAATTCTGTATCTGCGTGCGTGGAAAAGCTCATTCAGTTTTTATATCGTGCCGGTTGTTATGCAAAATAAAATTCTCACAGGCGACACAGAAATTAGCCCTAACCTCTTGGAGGACACAGTAGTGTTGTGTTTTCATTGCACACAACATGAACTCCTGGTTTTAGCACGCCAACGAACTGCCAAAGCGAACACTTGATGCCGCCCTATGTTTCCAAGCTTGGTGTCAAGACCAAACTGCGGGCATTTCAGCACAGTTTGATAAGCTCCAAAGGTCTTAACTTACTTTTTTATATAAAAAAAAAAGGTTATCTAGACAAGATTAAGTGGGTGAATTTGTAACAAATTGAACAAAGAAATTATTTCTCTTAATTTTTTTAAGTTCGCAGATTAACGAAGCACTCGAATTTTCAAATCTGCCATAAAATTTATCAGATGGTGTGAACTTGAATTCGTACAGAGGACAAGTTTATAGATGAAAGATATTTGTGGAAGGGTTTTGTTTATTCTAATTAATGAGTATATAGGTCACATACAGTATTTTGTTTTATTTCATACAATTCTTAAGTGGTGAAAAGCCATTAGTGATTATGAATGAGTCAGACACTCAGAAACTTGAACTGGCTTTACCAGTGAGCGGATATCAACCCAGTAATTGCTTTGTTCTACTGTTTATGCCTAAAACTTGCTTCAATCCAAGCTACTCTGACTTCTTGCCCTTATGATTTCAAAGCCTCTGTATTGAGTTTGAAAATCATCGAAAAATATGGAAAGAAACAAGTGCATGCTGCATAGTCTTTCTCAGTAATGATGAAAAGATGACCGGCTTTCACTTTTGAACAGAGCACTATTGCAAACTGTCTCTAGAACATTCGACTGTGCAGTGTTACTAATACTTGAAAGATTTAATATAAGAGAGTCAGTTAGATCACAGCTCTTCAATAGTCTGATATCATTGCGACTTCCGTGCTATATATATATTTATCTTGTTTAATGTTCGACGAGCCTGTGGTCACAAATGGTAAGAAATTCTTTCTTTAAGAGATTCCAGCCACTATATAACCAATCACTCGCTGACTGTACTTGAGCAACCATTCAGTTAAACACATTTAAAACAAAATTAAAATTAACAGGGTAATTTAGTATTATCAACTGAGTTGATAACCTAAATTGGCCGACGCAAAGAGTTCAAAAGCTGAAATTACTTGTGAACGGTACTCTTTCTGAGAAAGGCATTTTGCTTCGTTGTACGCGAAAAGACTTTTCCAAGCACGGAGTAAAGTAAAGTAAATAAATTAAATAACGAAGACGGAAATACTTTTCAGGATCAGGAAGGAAGTGTGCTTTGTATGTAACATTGCTCTCGGTGTTAACCTGCATGGGAAACCTTTTGTTACCAATCAGTATTAATTAAAAACCATTCGTTCCATGAGGTTCATAGACTTTGCATATTTCATACCTATACAAGCGGAAATATCAGCTGTTAGTGTTTGGCTGCTCCCTCTGTTTTAGTCTTCTACAAACCTCTCTTGAAGCCACTTTGGTAATTACGCAGTCCGACACCGTACCCTAAAGTTTTAACATTTACAGAAATAAGAGAGGTTACTATGAAACCATAATCGTACCTCACATCCAGGGGTCTGATGCCGCGATCTTGACTTTGATCATAAATTCGTACCTTATATCCAAGAGTCATAAATCCATACTCTATATCCTGGGGTTCTAAAACCGTTCCTTATACAAAGTACATTTGCAAAAAAGCCGATTTGTGAACGTTTTTCTGTTTGTTTGTTTCTCTGGAATTTTCACGGTAGTGTTACTTATAGGGCCGTGCCTAAATTGCGATATTGGACACACTCAAAGCATATCGTTGCGAACGAACATAGAACTGACTTGATAAAAGCTTGCTCAGGGATCATCTCACTTTACTCATAAATCGGCAACACAGTTAACACAACAATTATACAAAAAGCCTCATAAATTATCGATATAACCCAGTCTGGTCATAAGTGTCATTTGGGTGGCGAAATTAGTTAGATTGACAGGTATCTTTTGAAATCTTTTGTTCCAATTTCTTTTGCTCGCCTTTCCGAGTCGGCAGCTAACTGGATACAGCTGAACGCACCCATGAAAATCTACGGCTTTAGCAGTCTTCTTTGAAACTAAATTACTGAAAGCGACTTTGTTCTAAGCTGGTTTCAAAAGCACGTGGGCTCTTCATGAGATACTCCCAATAGCAACAGAAGACAAAGGATGCCTTATCTCATGTTTGATCTCATTAACCTTATTATCAGACTTACTGGCTGTGCGATAACAGCTGGAATCTGCTATAAATACACACGCGAAAATTAAACCAAAGTAAGAAAATCCTTTCCAAAGAGTTTGCCCAACTGCATGGAAAATGCGGCTAGCTATGAGCGAAATAACACAACCAGCCTTTGAGTCGAAAATTGTAGCAAAGAATAAATTATCCCAGCGAAATGAACCTAAACGCTTTCACTTTGGTTTATGGACTTTTTGACTGTTCATAGGATCAATATTGATAACAAGGTCTCTACAAGAACAATGCTTTATGAAGTTAGTTCTTTGAAAAAGGGTTATTTAGGTCCCGCCTTCGTGCGCCTAATTAGCTGTAAACCCTGGTTAATTCCTTCACGTAGCGAGATGCTGAACTGATCACGTGAAAAGTCAAAATTCTCTTTTAAGACAGAAATACACCAATGCACTGCGTTAAATCATCACCAGAAGAAATCAAACAATTTTGTTGGATTTTGTATTAAAGACAAAATTGTAGACAATTTTGTAACAGTCGTAGATTTTTCGAGAAAGGCTAAGGTTTTTCAAAGACGGAACTAATTGTTCAATGGAAAATCGTGAAGTCATGCTTAATCATTCATATGGTAATTTAAATATTATCTTATTGAAGCTCTTGAAGATCGCAGCTGATGGTTACAGTCATCTTTTACATACAGCATTCAGAAGGCCACCTTTTCAATGATCTTAAACTCGACATTTTTATTTGCTTTTGCCGATAGTTGTATTAAAAAAAAAGTCTATCAAACTTGATTTTGATAAAGCCGCACACGTATATCTAAAGAATAGAAACATCATAGCTTTAGATTTGAAGCCTAATCGAGAAACTGACACCAAGACTGTCTTGGGAAAAGAAATAAAAAATTAACGGTTGCAGGAAATCTGAGAAATGATTTTCAACTCTTCAGTGGTGAAATATGCACTCAATCGGGAAGAAAGGCACAAAGGCCCATTTATAGCTTGGACTTTGCTCGTTCAAACGTAGAGAGGCTGCCTATTTTTGAAAAATGGCTGCCACAGACACCTCTGTTCAGCACACCTTGCAAATGGCGCTCTCCCAGTTACCACAGCTAATGTAACAAACTTGGCAAAAGATGAGATTACGTTTTCATTAGCGTTCATCGTCACGATTTTCCTCCACTGATGTCATTAGGCTCAAGTTGAAACTCGCATGCATGTGAAGAAGCCTGTTGCTTCAACACGATACGTAAGTTGCTTCAAACGCAAGAGATTCCTGTGTCGATGAATAATTCTAAAATATATGATTCATATGTCATAATATAAATTATGTTTTAACCCAATATAAAAAATGCTTAGACATTTTTTTTAGGAAATGCACTGAACGTAATCACATGTAGTTTAATTTCTAACGCTTGAGTGAATGGGTACGTACTGCATCATTTGCAGAACAACCTGGAACTTCCCAACGTCTTTTCATGCGAATTTTCACTGAAGCCAAAGTTTCAAATTGGGAGAATTACAGAATATCAACTGGAGTGTCACTCAGATTGTTAATAAACGGCAAACAATAGCGCCAGTGTTCAACATTTTAACTACGAGAGTTCTCTTTCTTCGTATATTCAAGTGAACGAAATAAAAACAGTTTGGTTGATCATGAAGGACAATTTGGCTTGTATCATGGTTCTTATACTGGACCTAACTTCATTGAATTTGACTTAGCCTCTTCGCAAAACGAAGATATCAGCTCCACAAGGAGACCTGCAGCCTAAACTCAGCATGTTACAAGCACCAGTTAAACTCGCTTTGGTGAAATTTTAGTTATACAGAGATCAAACTAAGGGAAAAGTTGGTTGTAAATGTGTAGCGGAAAGTAACTTGCAAAAGCCCAACTTTCGCAAAGTGTTTTGATCGATCTCCAAATGTCATGAGCCTTTGGGATGTATCTCGAAGTTTCATGTCTTTTCCAAAGCTCACCATGTCTTGGATTTCTTCATTTAGTTGAGGATCTTTAGCAAAGGTAGCTAAGTGGGGCGGCAACAGTGTTCGTTTGATCGAATCTACGCTTGAAAATCAATGATTACGTAGAAGGTGACGTACCGCATGTAAAAGAACACAAAAAAGCTTATCCCAACTTAACCATAATTAAGAGTACCTTGCCCCTTTTCTAGCACTGCTTTAAATTACTAGAGTTAAGTAAAAGTAATAATGATGAATTCCAACGCCTCAGTTTTTTACTTAATCTCTGTCTCGCATTTTCAAAATTAAATATCTCACCGTTTCGCGAGTCTCAGATGTTATCATTCGTCTTCCTCGATGAATAATCATGGTATTCCAAGGTCTCTAAGAAATTTCTTTCTCTTGACAATTCAAGCTATGTTATAGGTCAAAGGAGCGAGCTACGCACTTTGATATACATATATATTCCAATACTGTATAGCGCTCAAAGACAATTTCAATACCGCTATAGCTATATAGCTACTTGTCTATGAAAGTGCTTGGTTTTCTCTATCAACAATCCTATTAATATATTCGGCACATACCATATTCCATTTTCGTCCTATACTATCTCCAAGTGTTTCAATTCAAGGCAATTAGGCATGAAAAACCTTTCCTTAAGTTCCGGTTAGAAACTCATTTATGTTTAGTTCTCGATAGCAGGAAAAATCACAGGATCCAAAGACTTCCAGTGGATCTTGCAGTTTGGGTCTATACCATTTTTATTTCCAATTGTCGCTATATTGAGCCCATGAGAAATAATAAACACATCAATGATATTGTTGCTGTTGACAGTGATATGTATCTACCAACCTCGTTCCCAAGGTCTCCTCTCTTTCTCAACTTTCTCGAGGGAAGAAGAGAGAAGACCCTGGAAACGAGGTTTTAAACATAACAGCGTGCTATCGCAAATGCTGCAGTCTGTTTCCGCCGCTGTTCGCCATCACTGTGATAGACAGTTATGAGTTTGTTCCCGTAATGAAATAAAAACAGTAGCATTTCCTTTTCAGTTTTGAACGACCAGTAGAATTATTTTAAAACGACTAGATTATTTTCTATCGGTTTCTAAGCGATCAATCAGGGCGAATTATGTATCACTCGGTAGAAATCTCGATCTCACAGCCTAATACTCACGAAGTACTAGAAACCCTTTACTTAGCATTCAACAGAATTCAGTTAATGCAATTTCTTAATTAAATTGTTCCGAGTTTGAAGCGTAAATGAATGGAAGCATCGCTATCATAAACAGTTTTCAACAAATCCTGTAGTTTAATACGTTATCGGCTCAGACAACTTCCCTCACCCACTGAGAACAATAAAGAAAACGGAGGAGCTACTGACCAATGGAAAACCGTTAAGTGCTTACCAGAATTAGGAACTTAGAGGCTTATTCGAAACTGATGATAACACATTAACGCAAATTTTCAGTGTATGTGTAAATAGAATGGTGACTTTTCAGTTTGATTAACCTTAAAAAAGAAAAACGCAGGAGTTCGTGATCGGAACTGGTAGAACAACCGTAGAATACGGAGGAAGGAAAGTCAAAGAAAAGGCGAGGGTTTGACTAAGGTCGAGTTAAACCGCGACAAGGTTACGTGTCAGTAGGATTAAATTACGATAAAAAAAGATACTGAGGTACAATCCTAATGATGTGATTATAACTTAACCCTTCCTTGACGTATTTCCTCTAAAAAAAGTAAACCTCTGTATGTAACTGCCCGTCTGTGAGAGCCACATGAACAAAGGTAAACAAACTGCACGTGAGTGCACGCTAGCGATTTATGTTCTTGGAGTACTTTGTTTTGAGGATTGAACCAAAGCGGAGAGTGACATGATATGGGATCACATACCATGTTTTGTTTTCATTTTTTATCTTTTTAATATTGTTCCTGAGTAGTAAATAAGTAAATTATACATGAGACTTGGGCAACCCTCAATGGTAGTAGTATATAGCTAAAATTAGCCCGCACACAGAGATAAAGAAACCGCGTATGACACATCTTGGATCTTGGAAAATGTATCTCAAATATTCCAAATTTGTTATTTAAAATCCGCGTCAATCTTTTCAATCCTTTCGGTTCATGCCTTCAAATTTTGCGTTTGTCTCCTTAAAAAAAAGTATCATGTGAAAGTTTCAAACCAAACTTTCACGATGCGCATTTGTATCCAATTAACTTGCAAAGCGAACGTTGCTCCTCAATTTCTCGCTGAAAAGGATGAAGCTTTTCTCGAAAACGACAACTAAATTTACTCGTGTCTAAAACCTTCTGAATTTGGCAAATTGCATGTCCCAAAATTGAAATTTCCAATACTTACTTGCTGCCTTGATCTCCTGATGAAATATTCACTGTTTTATTTTTCTCGAGCCGCTGCAGCCGTCAGTCAAGATGCGTCGTTATCGAAAGTGTTAACTGAACGAAGCACAACTCGAGTACCGCTATGAATATCTGAAACGGATATAGGAGGCTATGATCTTTTTGACCTGCAGTTCAAGATAAGACAGACGTGCTCATGAAAATGTGCTTTACCAAAAATTTTCCTTGGTATAATAGTCCTCATTTTATGAAATCGGAGTGAAAACGAATGCCGAAGGAAAAAGACTCTCCTTAAAGAAGGAAAACTCAGTGAAGAATCTGATTCAATCAGAATGTAGCCATGTGTTGAAGGATTTTCGCTTCAGAGGCATTTTCTCTGAGCACGTGGTAAGGGGTTTTAAACATATGATGTAAAAGTCACGAACTCTATTTCGTCGGACACGCATAGTGCTGCATTGTGCTGTGTCTGGCTTAAATTTAAGGACCTTAAGCAGTCGAACGGCAACGTTGAAGAACACGTCACCTAAAAATGAATTTGTAATTTTATTTAGAATTTCGCGATTTGCTGGACCTGTTTACCGTCTCAAACGGCGCCACCCGTCTACTTCAACTTAACGTACGTGAGCAGTGTTGAGTCAGTTCCGAATGGAAACTTCCGTAATTTTCCGTCGGGTTTCCGTCGGGTTTACAAGCAAATTCTGGTGATTTCACGTTCTTGTTTTGCAGAGGAAGGCAATGAAATACACACATTTTTTAAAGAAAACGCACGCGCTGAACTACAGTTCTTTCGTTTTGCCACTTACTCATTGCAGTTGCCGTCATGATTTGTTTAAGGTCCCTAAAATTTGACAGTCCTTCATTTCCTTCGATTTACTCAGACCACATGGAGCCATCCTGGCCAAAATTTTGCCAATTTCGAAATCCCGACAGTTTTTATCGGCTAATCCCAATTCCGGTACTTACCGAATGAAACGCCTTCTCTGTTCGAAAATTCAAAATCAGTCCTTGCTGTCTGAGAACGAAATCATGTCATCTCCTTTCATTTTTTCACTAGAGAAGAGGAACGCCTGAGGCGTTACATTTACGATTTTCTTCAGCAAACGAAAGTTAGAAGGATGATGTGTCAAAACCGCACAACCTTATAAGGGAGTTTAGGGATTTGCTTGCGAGGACTTCTGCGAGGACTTCTGCTAGGAGATGAAAGGGAACTGTCACATTCCTTTCTTGGTCCACATTCTTCGGGCTGACTTTCTGGAGTACCTTTAAAATGCAAAGTACTCCGCATAAGTACGATAAGCGTTTATGTGGTTTATTCTGCGATGGAAAACAAAATAAATTCAAAATCAGTCCTTGCTGTCTGAGAACGAAATCATGTCATCTCCTTTCATTTTCTCACTGGAGAAGAGGAACGCCTGAGGCGTTACATTTACGATTTTCTTCAGCAAGGACTAATTGAAAACGAAAGTTAGAAGGATGATGTGTCAAAACCGCACAACCTTATAAGGAAGTTTGGAAAATGACATGGTCGGTAAAAAAAACTAGAAACTTCGTAAAAGTAGCGGTCATTTTCGGCTTTTCCAGATGGCCGTTCGATTTTTTTGTAAATTTTGTCATCAGATTGCCACGCCTCTTTTCCCGATTTCTGTCCAAGTAAAATTTCATGAAAAATGGCTTTCGAGTTTACTTTAGGCAGAGAGAACAGTCAGGGAGTGAAGTTAAACTATATCTTGTTATATCGTGTACAACACCAAGTTTTCTGGCTCAGTATTTGCGGTTTTTTCTAACCAGTCTGACCAGTTGACGAATCCCGCTGAAAACGTCGCAAAATCTTACATCCTAAGTGGAATGCCCTGACCTCTTCACACAAATCAAGCGTCAATATTCGACATCCGTCACATTTTAAGGCAAGGCAGTATATAATAACACTCAACGAAGCTAGCTAAACATATGCATGTACTAACCGGAAAAAAAATGCTCAGATAGTACTGAAACATCGTAAATGAATTAGTTGTGTTTTATTTACTTACAAAAAATAAAAGTAATCGAGCATGAAAACAAAAATCGAGATGTTCTGTTAAAATTTCCCTGTCGAGATTTACCTAAATGCGTGATAAAATGATTTGTTATTTTACTTGAGGGCAGAAATTAACAGGAAGCACCGGAATAATTCCGCGCAGCACACAGGCCGCAATTAAGAACGGAAAAACATTTCCATTCTGCGAAATTACGTGTAACAATTTTCTGTGATAATTTATTTTTAACAAAGTCAAAAATCCCAGGTGTTTCTTCGACAATTTAGCCTTCCAGCGAATGAAGAGTCTGAAAATGAAATAAATAAAATAAAAATCAGGAACAAAAAAAAAAAATAAATTACCATATCTAATAAGAATTGAAAATCAATCATATCCTTAAAAAAATTCTGATCTGCCCGAAGTTACATAGTTGTTCGACTTCAGTAGTTGCGCGTGAAGTAGTTTTGGTGCTGTGAAATAATATTTACAATAACTTTAGACCTACGAAGTTTAATCAACGTGCAGAACAGCTGGCTCGGTAACAGTTAAATTCGAGTCTTGGATAATTTACTATTTACACCCCCCCCCCTAAACTTGTTAACGCGTCAACCTCTTTACCAAGCTTTCTCTTTCTTAAGCCCTCCCCGTTTCTCCCAAAAAGGTCGGCGGAAGAAAGAACGAAGATATTTACAGTCTTATTCCTCGTGGATTTTCCGGAACCCTTTCCAAGATGAAAAACTGACCTAGAAAACCCCCTAAAGACGAGGCTGAGGTGTTTCCGCCCAGCTCAGTACAATATTGTTGAAGGATTGAGTAACGCTAATTATGCTTTGAGCAAGTTGAAATATTCAACCACTCGTCAGCCATCTATCCTTGTCAATCTTCTCCATCCTTTATCAAAACCGTTCCGATCCGGATTAATCCTCTTGTTTTGAAGTTTTCCAGTTTCATACGAACTGAACTAACATTTTGTAGCTTTTGTCGCGTTGACATGATAGTTTGAAAAGTCGCGTTTTAGTGCTTTTCAATTGAATGTCGATAGAAACCAAAAAAAAAAAAGGAAAATACCTCGAAGAGCTGATGAGAACTCAAAGTTAAAGCAACCAAACTGTCTAAAGCGCGGGAAAACGCGGGCGACTAAGTCGTGATTGGTTTTAGTTTTTCATCTGATTGGTTGAGAAAGTGGCGCAAGTTTTTTAGTCCAATCACAGTCCCGGATTACTTTCGGCGCTCAATTGAAAATTAATACCTAATAAGACTCAAATTTATGTTACGAATCCCCCAGCGTAATCATCACCCTGTTTGTCTAACTTACAATAGTATGTACAATGATTGCCTTAGGCTACAGTGCACTAAAAGGAAAAGGACTCTTACTTGCTGTACAAGACACAGTATACGTCACAATGGAACTTCATTACAACCGGAAATAAGAAAACAATGAAAACAATAATGTGACGTATACTGTGTAAGAGCCAGAAAAAGCAAAATTTGCAAGACCGCCAGCAGTCTCTTGTCTTCCTATCAGTTCTGAATTAACAATTCATTGAATTGAAAATTTCCTCATTTGTCACCGTAAACGTTTCCTCGATAAAGCCAAAAGTATTAGAATCTGAAAGCGCTTAAGAAGTATACTTAAATTAGCAAATTGAGGCAACAGGACAGACAGGCGAGTTACGTCACAGATCAGCGGCTTGGTTACTGAGTCAATTTCAAAGCTTATTTTGATATAAATAGCACATTAGGACAAGTGCGGAGGGTTAAGTTCTTTAAAAAGTCAAAATTGGTTAGTTTAATAATTTATCAATACTTTTTTTCAACGACGAAGATAAAAATGAGATGTTTTATGGAGCACACTTCTCTTTTAAGATCCATTTCGTCCAAAGGACCAGTCATGATCTTTCGCCGGGGGCAGGGGGGAGGATTTCGGTCGGGATCACATGGTCATCAGACGGAAAGGAGAAGGAATTGGTCGTCGGCACTGAGAATATTGGGAGGACCACGGTAAATGGCCTACCAACTAACTGTCAATCAGGAAGGGGGGGGGGGAAACCAGTGAGAATATTGCAAAGCCTTATGAGGGCATCAGGTCAATTTTCTCGGGACGCAACCAAAATCTTCCAACCCCCCTCCCCCCTCCCCCCCCCAAGAATAAATAATGACCGATCCCTTAGTTCAGAATAGAGTTCATTCACAGGCACCTATTTTTCCTTGGGGTGCGTCACACACTGATGTTTTCCGCGACTCTGTCTCGAGTAAGAGAAGCGCTTGATAGGCGAGGGCTTTCAAATCATCCCTCAAGAACCCGCGAGGACAAGGCGTCCCCTTCATCCACTGCTCAGCCTTTTTCGCTGCCAGACTCCACTCGGCCTCGAACTGGGGTCTCTTACGATGCAACCAGCTCAGTGCAAGTGAAGTAGCCCACAGCTGTGAACTGTTGTCGCACTTATCGGAATTCATCAGCTCTTGAAGATCTTCGGCGACAAAAACAGAGTTGTCGGCCAGCGGAGAGGCTTGTTGGAGGCCGGCGAGTGGCAGCCCCAGGACCTGCGCAAAGGCATAATCTAGGTTCCAGTTTCCCTGAGCAGACTGTAAACTGACCATGCGCACAAAAGACAGATGCTGTTTAACCCCAGAACACCAATAGGTGTCTAAGCTGGAGGACTTAAGGAGTTTGGGTTTGATGTTTGAAGGACTTTGCTGCCTTTCACCCAGCACGCATCTCGTGGACAAAGGAGGGATTTGCTTACGAGGACTTCTGCTAGGAGATGAAAGGGAACTGTCACATTCTTTTCGTGGTCCACATTCTTCGGGCTGACTTTCTGGAGTACCTTTAAAATGCAAAGTACTCCGCATAAGTACGATAAGCGTTTATGTGGTTTATTCTGCGATGGAAAACAAAATAAATTATTTACCCGTTCGCTCCAAGCGATAAAAATCCAAAGGCTCTTCCCCTGACTCGTAAACAGAGTTAGTTCTTCCTTCGGCAAAATATGGCGAGATATCGTGGTCGCTGCCATCTGGACTGGGTAGACGTCGTCCCAGGCCCTCCGTGAATCCAGAGCTTCGCTCAAGTACTTTAACTTTGCGACTCCTTTAAATAACCAACAAAAATGAAATGAAATTATTTGCAATAACCATTTTTAAGGCGGTCTTCATAAATTACACATTTTGCTGTCAAAATGACCCCTAACGCAAAAATGAATAGTTTGTCAAATTAGTTTTCCACTCACCCAAAGCCTGGTATATTTTCTTTCTGAGGGAACTGCAAAGCGCTTAAGACTTGATCATCATAGCAATATTGGTCACGTGCGACTAGCGCTGTGTGCCTGGAATGAACGCTGGACAGCTCGCTAATCCTCTTCACAACATCAATGGTCTCCGCACTCCTCGACTCTACAGAAGACTGCAGTTCCCGAATGAGCGAACGCGCCAAAAGCTGGTGGATCGTGGGACGCTTCGAAGAGCCACCGCATCGGTTCACTGGAAATGGAATGACTTGTTCCATTTCTTCGTCGCCGACAAATCCCTTAATGTTTACTGCACCAAAGTCGGCTGGCACGCCAAGCTGCGACAGGAATTCGCTGTTTTTGTAAATGTGGACGGCTGTTTTTCTTGAGCAGTCGAATTCCTCCATGGCAGGACTGCTACTATTCCGAAAACACGCGTTTGCTTCTTCGTCTCTTTCCTCCAATTCTCCGTCTAGCTCTGCTATGGTGTTCTTGCTTTCATCCGGACTTTTGTCACTGTCTTCCATACTGAAACCAACACCGCTGTCACGCTCGTAAGCGCGCGCAAGCTTTGGCGATCGTTGTTGCTCATGGGAATTATCAGCGGGCTCTTGGTTCTCAGGAATATCTTCTCGCCCCTGAACATCATTGAGAACCCCGTCCGACAGGATGTCTTGTAATAACATGTTTGCTGGTCTGTGATTGATTGAGTGCAAAGCATTATTATTCCGTTCGCGTTGTTCCGGGTTGTTCGACGGCTGGCCTGTCGTGGGATTCCATTCTTTGGCGTCACAAGATCCGCACTGTTCGTTGCTTTGGAGTGCGTCTGAGGATTGTCCTTTCCCATC